GAACATTTGAAAGTGGTTGAGGAGTTAGCAAGTGGCTCTCGCCCATCTGCGCTCACTCTCCCAGCAGTCTCTACACAGACCAGGACCCTGGCTGGAGCGGTCTGCTGCCGAGAAGCGCGCTCGGAATCTGGGTGCTTCCATCTCGAAGGTGAAATTGTCTGTGTTGGAGACAAACGAACCGGCCCGAAAGTGCTATGCCACGTCGCGCGTCAAGGTTTATGCGAAATCTTCATCAAGCTTTCCGCCGTGCAACTGTAGTGATGGCGACTGCCACTGTAAAAATAAGATCAGTGGGCTGAACATGGAGGAAATCATCGCCGCTTCGCCTGAAAGCCTTGGCGTGCCCTGAAAAACCATGCTGCTTTATGGATTTGGCCAGGTCAGCCAGTGAGATCCAGCCATGCCTTGATGATGCAGCTGATCTGTGACCGAACAGCGCCACGCAAGCCACGAGAACTGACAAGTGTACTGCCTCCATTTCCGTGACCTCGCGATGGCATTTCGACGAACAAGCTCCAGGTCGAATCTCGGCAGCTACTATTATTAGCACCACAGACACTCATCCGTAATCCCTACCCACAAGGTTAGGCTCGAGGACATCGTTAGCCAAGCCCACGAGGGTTGCGGGCCATGGTACCCGAGATTCTCACGGTGCTGATAGAGTTGGTTGTCCCTCCACTTCGAGCATGACATGCAGCACCACGGCACATCCAGGAGACGCGCTCAGGGCATGCAGCAAGGCTATTGCTTCTTGTGCCAGAGCTGCGCGCTGGCAGCAGGGGTTGGACTTGCTGTCCAGCCTACAAGTCCGAGCGATCCAGGCGAATGTAGTTGTTTACAATGCCACCATCAACGCCTGCGCACAAGGGCGGCAGTGGCAGCTGTCTTGGTTCTTGCTCTCTGAACTCGAAGCTCGGTACATCGAAGCCACAGCCATCACGTACAACACGGCTCTCACGGCATGCGAACGAGCTTCTGCCTGGCAAAAGGCTCTCGATCTGTTGTCTGTCTTCATGTTCTGTCTGCTTGAGGCAGACATCACCTCGTACAACACCACCATCAGCACTCTAGCCAAGGGAGAGCAGTGGCAACGTGCCTTGGAGATCGTGCATCACGTTCACAAGGACTTGAACTTGAAGCTTGATGTGATTTCAGTGAATGCCGCCATCACAGCCTGCGGACGAGGCAGTGAGTGGCCACAGGCGCAGGCACTCCTGGAGGCTTTGCGCGCCAAATTCCTCGAGACCGACACGATTTCCTACAATTCTACATTGCATGCTCTAGGTGGTGGTCAGAAATGGAGCTTTGGCTGCCAACTCTTTGATGAGCTGATGAAGAAGTGTTTGCTGACAGACGTCATCACCAGAAGTTTGCTTTTGGAGGCGACCTCCAAAGCCCGGGAATGGTCTTCGGGGTTGGCTTCCCTGGACAAGCTTACTGCTCAGGGGGTCTCCTTGGACTCTGGGCTTGTCAGCCGGAGTCGTACCGCAGAGCACAAGTGGAGGGAGACGGTTTCTCTAGTGGCTGGAATGAAGTGGAAAACTGTTGAATTGGACACGACTCTCTACAATGGACTAGGTAGTGGCTGTGTGCATGCGCAGCAGTGGCATCAGGCCTGCAACCTTGTGTCGATACTGCGATGTTCGAAGATGCAGCTTGATGTTGTGACCCTCAGCACTGTAATTTGCGTGCATGATGCAGAAGAAGATGCTATGTGGCAACAGGCTTTTCTTGCGTTGCAAGGCTTGTCCGAGAACATGGTTGAGGCCGATATTATCGCTTGCAATGCAACCTTGAATGTCTGTGAAAAGCTGAGCTGCTGGCAGCAGGCCCTTCTTCTTTGTCACCAGCTAGGAGATTTGGCTCTGCAGGCTGATGATGTTACTGCCAACTCTATCATTACTGCTTGTGGTAAGGGGAGTGAGTGGCAGCGAGCGTTTCAGCTTTTCCAGCAATTTTATCCAGAACGCTCTAGAGGCAGTGTGACTGTATACAACGCACTTATGAGTGCCTGCACCAGGGCCAGCAAATGGCAGCTCGGCCTGTCTTTCGTAAGGACTTTGCGAGCCTCCGGCTTGGAACCAGATGTGGTGACCCTCAACACCGCAATCAGTGCATGTGACGAAGGCAGGCAGTGGCGGCTGGTGTTGGACTTCTTTGGCCAGTCCCGGAGGAAGGGACATGCAGATGCGATCACCTACAGTGCAGCCATGAGTGCCTTTGAGAAGAGTGGAGAGTGGCAACTGGCATTGCAGCTGTTTGGTGAGTTGCGCCACTTGTCACTTGAAGCCTCGGCAATAGTTTACAACATTGCGATCAGCTCTTGTGAACGAGGCTCCCAGTGGCAGCAGGGCTTGGAAGTGTTGAAGGAATTGAGAGCCATGATAGGGACACAGGTCGAAGCAGATGTTGTCACCTACAGTGCGGCCACCAGTGCTTGCGAGAAGTCGGGGCAATGGAGGCAGGCACTTGCCCTGCTGAAGGATGTCGAGGCTGAGTGCGAGGTCGATATCGTGGTGTACAGTGCGGCAGTCAGTGCTTGCGAAAAGGGTCAGCGATGGCAGCAGGGCTTGGCAGTGCTTGCAAGGGCCGCTCGCCGTCGTCTCCTCAACACCGTCTTGTTTAACGCATCGGTGAGTGCCTGCGAGAAGGGCAGGCAATGGCGTCCAACCATGGAGCTTGCTCAGCAAATGCAGCACAGGCGGATTGCCACAGATGTCATTACATTTAATGCGGCAATGTCCACATGCCAACAGGTTATGCAGTGGCATCATGTGCTCCGGCTTTTTCATCGGCTGCTCGAGGGGCGAGTTGCCAGTGTTATTGCCTTCAGCAATGCGGTGGCAGCTTGTGACATGCGCAAGCAGCAACCGCTGCAGGACATGTTCGCGAATTTGCATGCGCTGGTCTCTGCGTCTCTTCATGAGGAGAAGGCGTGGCTCCCAGAGGCTTCATGACCTATCGCCTATAGCTTCGTGTGCATAGGGGCGGTGCTGTACTTGTGACAGAATCTAGACGAAGACACTATACAGTATAGATCGATTAATTGCGGGTCTGAATTTAATTGCTGTCCTGAAACGAAGCTTCAACATCAACTTGAAAGAGTATTTCTGCTAGCAGATTTCAATAGGGCAGGGTCTCGCATCTTGCATAGTGACATCTGCTCCCCTTCGTGTCACGAGTTTGTAGTACTTTAGATTAGATGTCAGAGCAGCTCTTCTCCGATCCTGCGCCACCGCAAAGCTTCTCAAGACTTCAGCTCCGTGTGATCTGCAAGGCGCTGTCGCGCAACCCATCGAGTCGTTGGCAGTTCTTCAAGTAATTACCCTGTCGACAGTTACAAACGACAGCGGGTGCTTTACTTAAGAACTGCTTGTAACCACACTTTAAGGTAAACACCTTGGGGCGACTGAACCTTCAAGCAGCTAGCCCCCTCAACCCCCTTCTAGAAAGCAAGGCACTGATAACATAGTCGGCCTGGATCGGTTCTGTCTGCAGATCCACGGAGCACCTCCAGTTAGGCATGGAGCCCTTGGGTTCTGTCTCGCCCACGTTTCAATGCAACTCCCTGATTGGAACGTGTGTGAAGCCACTGGGCTATTGAGTCGTACATTTTTCTTGAGCAGTTGTGAAATTTTCTTGGAAGATTTTCAAACAAGCAGCCACTGAAATTCAGAAAAGTGTTGACCTCTTGTCCTGCCTGGAGATACTTCATTTCTCAGGACAAGACAATGGCAAAGGGCTCTGTGGGTCCTAGAAGACATGCGCCATTCCCGTGTCGAGGCAGATGCAGTGTCCTACAATTCTGCTATGGGCGCTTGCATGAAGGCAGGCCTGCAAGACCACGTACCTGACTTGTTCCACCAACTTCGTGCAGTCCAAGTTCTTCCTGACCTGGTGACATTCAACACCATGATACGCGCATGCGGGGGTCACTGGCAGAAAGTCTGTGCCCTGTTGCAAGATCTGCAAGCTAGTGGCTTGGAGCCGGACCTGGTGACGTATAGCTCTGCAATCAGCATCTTCGAAAAGCAAGGGCACTGGGAGCAAGTCTTGGGGCTGCTTGAGGAGCTGTCGATGAACAAGGTGGAGACGGATAGGATTCTCTGGAATTCTGTTGTCAGCGCCTGTGCCAAGGGAAGCGAGTGGGAGCATGCGGCAGGGGCTCTGGAGACCTTGCTGCCCTCGAGCCTGCGGGCGGACATAATTACCTACAATGCCGCTATCAACGGACTAGGAAAAGGTGGAGAGTGGGAACTCGCCCATCAGAGGCTTCTGGAGCTGAAGGCCACGCAGTGCCAGGCTAACCTGGTGACGCACAATGCAGTCATCAACAGCAGCACTGTAGGCCAGAAGTGGCAGGAGGCTTGGACATTATTACGGCTCGTTGCTGAGGCAGGGCTGGAAGCAGACGTCATCTCTTTCAACTCAGCCCTCAGTGGAGGAAGTGGAGGCAGTGGCCCGTGGAAGGGCATTTTATCTGGATTCGAGGACTTGCGTCGGGGTCTGCAGGTCGATGCCGTGACCATGAGCAGCGTGATGGTCTGTGGGAGTCAGTGGCATCTCGCGGTCAGCTTCCTGTCTCTTTGCGGCAGCATGGCCTTAGAAGGTAACATCGTTCTTTGCAATGCGGCTCTGAGCACCTGTTCCCAGACTGGGCTGTGGCAGCAAGGCCTCAGCATCTTGCGCTCCCTCCCAAGCGCCCGGATCCAGCCCGACCTCGTCACCTGCAGCGCTGCGCTCAGCGCCTGCGAGGCTTCCGAGAGATGGCAGCTGGCGCTGCTTCTCTTAGAGGAGCTCCAGAACTTACGGCCAGATGTCGTCGCCTACGGGGCTGCAATCAGTGCTTGCGAGAAGGGTGGCGAATGGCGGCATGCGCTGTCCCTGGCCCAGGAACTTGTCGAGCGAGGCTTACAGGCTAACCACATCATATGCAATGCCTGCATAAGTGCCTGTGAAAAAGGTGGCGAATGGCAACGGGCGCTGAATTTGCTCGGCAAGTTTGACGACACAAGGTTACAGAGTGACATAGTGTCGTACAATGCTGCAATCAGCGCGTGTGAGAACGGCGGTCAGTGGCAGCATGCGCTGCTTTTGCTGGAAGCGGTCGGGATCCACCGCCTGAAGCGCGACATCATCACATACACTTCTGCAATCAGTGCATGTGATAAGGGTGAGGAGTGGGAGATGGCTCTTGAAATTCTAGATGACCTTCAGACGAGCCGTCTCCAAGCCAACATTGTAACCTACAACTCGACGATCAGTGCGCTTGCCAAGGGCACAGAGTGGCAACAGGCATTGTCGACCTTCGAGATGCTGCAGAAGCAAGCAATGCAAGTAGACATTGTGACGATCAATCTGACAATGAGTGCTTGCGGAGCTGGCGAGCAGTGGCAGTTGGCCTTGCAGTTTTTAACGGAAGTGCAGAACAACATGTCTGAAAGCCGCAGTTTGGCGAACATCGTGACTTATAACGCCGCAATCAGTGCTTGTGAAAAGGTTGGGCACTGGCGCATGGCACTGTTCCTATTCTCAACACTACAAAAAGCGAAGCAGCAACCAGATGTCATCACCTACAATGCTACCATCAGCGCCTGTGAGCAGACCGACCATTGGCAGCAAGTGCTGTTGCTGTTTTCAGAGTTGCAGGCTAGGAGTCCGACGACAACTCTTACAGTGCATCCTTTGTTCTAGGCTCTGCACGGCACTCCCCCGGTTGATGCCCAAGACTCGATCTAACGACTTCTAACTGAAACCATGCACGGCAGTCATGTCGACTTGCAGGCCATGGGACAGGCGTCTGTCATATCCTTCGCGAACGTGCCTGGACTTGTTTTGGAGGTTGAGGTGGAGTGGCCTTTTTTGCAGATAGTCACCATGGTTACCATGGTCCGTACATACTTGCTCTCTTCTATCTTTGTGGATTGCAAGAGCGGGGGGTTCAGGGGGGGGGGCCCTGTATGACCTGAGCCACGAGTGCCTCAAACTCCCCTCACAGACGTGACCCCATAAGCCTGTTGGAAAATCGGTTGGATATGTTTGCAGCATTGTGCAGCGTTTTTTTGGTTGTTTTTGTATGTTTGGTGCTATAGGATGCGAGAAGGGGTCGTGTCCTGAAGCTCAGAACCTGCAAGAATCCTGCAAGGACGTTTGTCTTCAGTTGGGCGGTATTGTAAGACTGTGGAGGGGCTGGGCGCAGGGTCGACCGTCGCTGTGCTGCGCTTGGTCGGTTTATCTACGGGTAATTCTGTGCCGAAGCGTGCGAGCAGCGGCTGAGGGATTGTCGGATTGTGCGCTGAATCAGGGTCATAAGGGCAGACCCACACACGGAGCAAAATTCAAAACCCAAAATCCGAGAGCTCCAAGTTTGAATGTCAGGAAGTGCTGCCGTTGACAGTCGAAGCCCCGCAGGCCTTGAACCCGAACCCCCAAACAGCCTTTGCAAAACAGGTGCTTGAGTTGAGCCCCAACAAAGAACCGCTGCCCCCTATAGGCGCTGGGCGCCTGTGGCCGCAGCGGCCATCCGGAGGAGTCTCCTGAGCTCCTCGGGGGTTTGGAGAGGAGCACAGCAGGGCTGATGCCGGAACCAGCTGGGCGGCGAGAAAAGGGAGCGACCCACATCTCGCACAGCTCTATAGAGCCTCAACCTCGGCTTCGAAATTCAAGGTCGACTATCCCCAGGTCAGACTCAGACAAGCCGGCAAGTTAGAAGAGTGCTCCTGCACAAGATCACGGGATCCGGAGTCTGCTGCCGTCGTGAGGCAACTAAGCATTACGCATGTTTGTAACATCTGAGGAGCTTTGGGGAAACTGGGAAGAGCCCGAAGCTAAACACCGTCGAAGTCTCGGAATCTTGTCCTTTGCAGCTTTCGCAAAGTGGGCCCGCAGTGCCTTACTAATTACTGTGGCCCAGTCGTTCGCAACCATGCCAGGCCTACAGTGGCGTTTGCATCGGTTCGTTCTCAAATCAGCACCATTGCAGGGACTGCCTGAAGAAAAGAAAAACTCAGTTCCACCTATGTAGGTGAGAATGAACATAAATGGCAGCAGCCAAGCAATTAGCATGTGGAGTTGTAGGTAATGCAAGCGACTGTGCATTTTCATTTCCTGTTTCAGCATGTGGAAATGCACTCGGTAGCTACTTGTAGATACTTCAACAGCAACAGCCCCTTAGCCCTGTGGCTGAGTCATCATCGAGTGATTCATGTGCGTGCGGTGCGCTGGTTGCGGCGTCGAGCACGTAGCACCCGTGGCTTGGTCCTTCATGGGAGGCATGGAGACCAATTCCCAGAGAACAGAGAAGAGGATTTGTCCAGCAGATGACGCGTCAGCACCGAGCATCGTGATGCTTGGAGTTCGAGCGGATGCACAAAACGCAGAGTACCGACAGCAAAGCTAGAGTAGCTGGCTATGGATGGCTGGCGGCGATCTTCACACTTCTAGATACTCGACGGCGTGCGTGCCAAGGCGATGTGGTGCAACTCAACACAGCTCTTCGCGACTGCAGGAGAGCCGGCAGGTGGCAAAATGTTCTGACGTTGTTGAAGAGCGCAGCTTGCAGTCTCGGGACAGAACCTGACATTGTGACGCACAACACGGCGTTGACTTCGTTGGGAAGCCGTAAGCTTTGGCAAGCTTCTCTTGCCTCGCTTCTTGCACTTGGCAATGGAACCGATGTGTTCAGCTTCAATACCGTGCTGGGCACTTTGGACAATGCAGAGCAGTGGCATTGGGTGTTGCAGATGTTCCGCGATGTCAGACAGCGTCGCATGGGGGATGCTGTTACATATACTTCCTCGCTCAGGGCCGCCTCGAAGCGATCACTGTGGGCCCATGGCCTGGATCTGCTTCAAGATGCCCAGGCGGAACAGCAGAAATCCAGTTCATGTCGGCTTGTGAGGTTTCAGAGTTTCTGCTCGTTGCTTTGTGCCGTCTACTCAGGCTACGGAAATCGAGCTCGACTTGGCTGCCCTGAATGCCGTGGCGAATCTCTTCGAGCAAGGCTCGGCTTGGACGCAGTCCTCCTGGCTTTTGGCCAGGCGGGTCCCCATCGCCACCGAAAAAAGGCCTGATGATCAACTCTACAATTCAGTCCTGAGGGCTTTGGGTGAATGCAGTCGCTGGAGAGATGCCTTCTCCAGCCTTGTGACCATGGATGCACAGAGGATCAGCCCCACGACGATAACATGCAACTCCATTCTTCGGAGTTGTGCTGATGGAAAGTGGCCGATCATTCTGCTTCTCTTGGGAAGGGTCCGAGAGGCGGCAGTTGAGGCTGATACAGTTACATTCAACACCGCCCTCAACATGGGCCGGGATGGATCATGGGAGGCCATGTGCGCATTGCTCGGGCGAGCTCGAGTTGCAACTCTCAAGGCTGACACTTTCACATACAGTGCCGCTTGCAGAGTATTCGAAAACGCCAGTCGCTGGCAGTCGGCTCTACTGCTGACGAGGGACTTTACCGTGAAAGGACTCAGAGCAAGTTTGATCGTCATGAACTCGGCGATTAGCGCATGCAAAGCTGCGGGTGAATGGGAGCAGGCCTTACGACTACTCTCAGATCTTATCGCCCAGCAGCTGCTCCCAGATGCAGTCACCTACGCGTCGGCCATCGCTGCTTGTGAGAAAGGCAGCCGATGGGTCCTGGCTCTTGAGCTCTACGAAGACATGGCTTTGGAAAGAGTTGATCCAGACCTGGTCGTGTTTGGATCTCTGGTGAGCGCCTGTGGGCAAAGTAGAAATGGAGCCATGGCACGAGGCTTTTTAGAAGTATTGGAGATGCGGAATGTAGAGCCCAATCTGGTCCTTGCCAATGCAGCCATCACTGCTCTTGCGAGGTGTGGAGAGTGGGAGGAGGCTTCGTCAATGCTTGCAGAGCTCTTCCATGGCTCTTTTCGCCTGGATGCCATTACATACAATGCCGTCCTGCGCCCGGGTTCCTGCACTCACCATACCTTTGCTTTAGATACCAGTTACTAGGAGCGAGGTTCGGCACAAGCTGCCCCTCAATTACAGTAAGTAGAAGCCGAGGAATGGCCACGCCGGCCGAGGGAAGTGGTGTGAAGCTCTTGATCTGCTGGCAGAGATGTGCTGTCGGGGACTGGAAGCGGACGTCGTGTCCCACTCTTCTGCTCTGAGTGCTTGCGAGGACGGGCGAAAACTTGGATTTGTGCAGACCTAGCGGTATTCGGAGAATCCGAGAGCTTTAAACTTTACTTCGACCCCGAAGCATACATGGGGTCTAGAGGTGCTGCAGACTGAGTTTGCGCAAGCGTGAGGAGGGGCTTCGCTGGCTTCAGGCACTGGGACGCTTCCTGCACTTGCGGGGACGTGGGCTTGAATGCGGCATCATCCCTCACAATGCAGTGGCCTGGCCCGATACTCAGGCAAGGCTTGAACATCTTTTCGAGTTTTATAGAATGCCCAGGCAATCGCTGCACTTGCCAGTGGCGCGCGCTGGCTGCAAGGCCTGGAAGCAATGGCCAAATTGAAGCAGCAGGGCAATTCAGCAACAGAGATAACTCTCAACTCCGTTGTCAGTGCCTGCCAGCGTGGTCGTCAGTGGCAGGTTGCCCTGCTCCTTTGCAAAGGCTTACACGCTTCCAGTTTGCGCATAGACCCAGCAACACACAATGCAGCTATTCTGGTATGTGCAGCTTGTGGACAGTGGCTCAGTACCATTGACCTGTTGCAAGACTTGCACAGTGTCCGGTATGCAATCGACAGTGTGGCGCGTGCTGCGGCAATCGACACATGCGAGACGAACCTTCAGCACCAACATGCGGCAATGCTTCTGGATGACATGGCCGAAGCTGGTGTCGCAGAATTCGCACAGGCGTGTGATCCCAATTTCGGTCCGTGGCACTCGTAGGGAGAAAAAGGTGCTTGGACTGACCGTAGTGAGAAGTGTAGCTCGAGTGCTCAGTATGAGACAGGCGTTCGGCAATTGTCCGGTACAGCCGACAGCAAGACCTTCTGTATCACACCCACGGACACGGCGCCGCAAAACAGTGTACGGTCGTGTTAGACAGTCGTGCATATATGAGCCTTTGTCGCTGCAAGGACATGTCCTGCATCGTACCTGCGTTGTTGCCGCTTTTTGCCGAGGACGTTCGAACTTGATCTTGCTCGGCCTCTCAAGAGAAGTTGGGGGCATCCTCCAGGAGTTTTCGAACCAGACACCACCTGGCATGGAGCTCGCCCCATGCCATCCTCGCCATGCCCGACAAATCGTACAACTACAGTACCTACAGTACCGAGGCGATGGGCCTGCGGAGGCAACTCGGGGGCTGTTCAAATCATATTGGGCTTTTTCCGATAGTTACACCCAACTTCCCATAAAAAAAAGGGGCAAGTGGAGACCCTGAGGGTATCCTCTGGAGAACACTGTCCCAAAGGATAGGCTGCGTTGTGCGGCCATCGACAAAAGTCTGAAGACCGCTGCAGAAGAAACATTGCTCGGCCTTGTGGCTCTGCGGCCTAAACGGAATTGGAGACGGTCTTTTGTGTGGCCCGCGCTAGATGTGCAGGGGTTGGACAGGAGCAAGACTTGCCTAGCTATTGAGGGCCGCCTGCCTACTGTTCTTTTCGAGAACCCATTGACTTGGCAGCAAGACGTGCAGTTCCTTGCAGCGTGATTTCTGTCAAGAAATATACCGTTTAACCCTTCAACTCCGCCCGTTTGAAACGCATACTATAGGTATCTGAGTTCGTAGCCGAGCAGATTTGCACCCACATGTGTGCTCTTTACAAATACTTCAAGGGGGATGTCCTGCCACAGGCTGAACATAGTACGCGGGTCATGCGGGTCGAAAATTCTTTAATCCTATCCCCGTATGGGCACTCTATGCGCTGATATGCCCCTAGGCCCTGCTGTAGTTGTTAAGCCCTCCACCACCTGCAGGTCGCGAAGCCATAGAGTAGAGGCCTTGTAGCTAAGTCCGATTCTGTGGCCGCGCGGGTGCTGCGGCGACTCTTGACGTGACCGCGCTAGGTTTCAAAACAATGATCCCCCCCGGTTGCTGTTTGCTGAAGCTTTCATGTCGGCCCTCGAGAGAGTCGTGCAACGCTCTGCACTGTAGATCTTGGCCATGTTGATTTCAAGCCTTCCAGTCTTAATACAAGTAGTAACAAGAGTATCTTCAACACCCGGCCACACCTTGGCCTCGAGACCCACCGTACCAACTGAGCAAAGACACAGTGTGGCTCAATCCGAATGCCATGGACGCTGCCTCCAGCCCTTCCCAGGCATCAGCTCTTGCCTGATGACACTATAAACGCAACCATAAGATAGTTGGACAAAATGCAACAGAACGTAGATAATGAAACGAAATGCAAAGCAAACCCAATCAAGCATAGAATATTTTTTGTATTCATATAGAATACGCGTATATTTTAAACTCATAAGTAGATGTGTATATATATATAATAAGTAGTACGTGTCTGGTCTTCTTCTATTTGGCATTCTGGGTGCGGGCTGGTTCCGCCAGGCTGGCGTGGCGGTGACGGACGACTGGAGCTCCGCCTTCCACGCTGACAATGCGCAACAATGCAAGCAACAGTTGCCAAGGGCTCAGATACAATACCTATATATATATATACATATATATATATATATATATTTATACATACATATATATATATATATTATATTATATATGTCTATGCTATACCGGTTATCTATTCTGGAGTATTTGCCTTGTCTATTTTGGTTTTCTGCAGCACACACATCTATTTTGTTTAATATGAACTCCTTGCTTCACGGGAGTATGAGTCCGAGCCGCGAGCCCTTTCTACGGATAGAAAAGCCATGAGAGTCTGGAGCTGGTTCCAGGTTCCCACCAGCAACAGCCAAGGATTTAGCTGTCCTCGAAAAATTCTCATGAAAGCCAGATAATGTCTAGACTAGTATCATCCAGCAGAGTAGAAGCCTTTTTGTTCTCAACACAGGAGCCAGCTACTCAGAACGATATCATGCGAAGATGTTGTTCTACAAGACCAGTATGAACATGCGTGATCGGGAGGGTCCGAGCCTGAGCGACAAAACCTACACAGAACAGCATGAGGCTCGAGCCAGAGTGGCAAAATGAATTTGCAGAGCCCAGCTCACAAAATACTCATCGTTAATAGGATTTGTGAGGCTACGCAAATCTCGGCTTCACGAAACCGTCAAACTTCCCATAGTGTTTCTGACTTCGGTCTGAAGAGTCACCACAGTCAAGCTTCCACTTCTAAGTCGAGTCAGAAATGTTTTCAGGCGGCGCCGAGCAGTGCTCGCCTTGGCGTTGATCTCCGAGCCCTTAGAGAGGCTCAGCTCGTAGCTGCTCGCATTTAGGGGGCAGAATTACGTGCATGCTTGAAAGGGGTGCTGCTTGGCATAAACGAGCCGTAGCCTCTGCTACGAGTCATTGATCACATTTAGGGCCTAATCATGCATTCATGGTTTAGGGTGCTGCTTGACAAACTGGCATGTTATATATATATATATATATATTATCCCGCCCGCAGCTACTGTTCATGTGTCAGCCTGTCCTGGTGTACGACAGTGCATGAGCGGTTGGATTGGGTGCTTCTGAGCCACTGCTGGCTGGGGCAGGCAGTGGAATGTCAGGGCCCCAGATTGCTGGGACAAGGGTTACTTTAGGGGGTTACTATACGGGCTGCCAGAGGGTGTTTTGCGGTTCTACAAGTGCAGTGGGTGCAGCAGGACGTCTTCAGTCTTCAGGAATCGATCTCTGTACCACTGCCGACAAAAAGCATTCCTCGCCACTCCCCGAATGGCGCTTGAAACACTGTTTAAGTCTCTGCCGGATGAGTGTCTGGATTTGTTCGCAGACGTGCTCCGTGAGTTGATTCGCTCGCACTCGTTGAATTTGGCGCCATCCTGCGGGCCGAGTCGAGCTCCTTCCTGCCTTCCCTCTTTCCCTCCTTCCTTTCCATCACTCATTCATGCCATGTATCTACTGATTATATGCAGACATTGTCCACAGGGATCAGTGATGTTGAGGAGATTTTCCTCGACCTGGCCTGGGCGGCTTGGCTGGATGTCGTGCGAAGCGCGAGGCGTGCATACCAACTGCCCAAGGCCGGCCCTTTAGGCTGCAGGGCTTATAACGTAGAGTTTACTCATAGGCCCTAGAGTAGTTCCTTTTTGGGGTTCATACATAGACTCCTATAAGGTAATCCCCAAAAGGAACTACTATGGGGCCTATGGGTAGGGACTCTGAAGCATGTTGGGTTTAGGGGGGGCTGTGGCTTCGCTGAGTGCTTCGAGTCGAGCCTGTCCATTAATGTTGTCATGCTTTGCATGTCGTCATATCCTAGGGTGTCTGAAATCCGGTAGCATATGCATCGGGATTTGGCGGGTGTTTTCACAGCGGCAATGACGAGATAACATCCCTTCCATCATTCGTTCTACAAACAGAGTCCAGAATACGACGCACCTCGGTTTGGAATAACTCAGATAGCCAAGGGCAGAAGTTTAAACTTTTTGAACTTATGTCATTGGTCTATCTTTAACAGTTCGAGTTATTGAAGAAGAGAGAGTGATAAGTGTCTCCCTGGTGAGCAACAGAGTCTCGTGACAGATGGTTCATCGTGCTTCTTGACCTTTCTTGCGGACAGGCACAACGGATGTACGAGAAAGCAGCCGGGCAGCAATCTTAAGACCATTTGCAAGAGTTGAACCTAGGAAGACATGTGGGCGTAGGTAGCAAGCAAGCAAGCAAGCAAGCAAGCAAGCAAGCAAGCTAGCTAGCTAGCTAGCTAGCTAGCTAGCTAGCTAGCTAGGTATATAGGAATATGTACCTGTGTATGTATGTAACAGTATGTATGTATGCATGCATGTATGTATGTATGTATGATTATGTATGTACCGAATGTCTGCATTAAGCCCAAGTGATTCCCGTGAGTGGCAGAGCTTGTTCATGAGACATGCCTTGCCAGGTGCTGCACGAAGCACACGGAGCCATGGTCACCACCTCACATGATGACCTCCCAACACAACCAACGCCAGAGCATGTCCTCCTGCCGAGGGAGTGAGCTGCTTCTCTGTTTGGAGGAGCCTACGCCTGAGAATCGAAGTGGCTGAGATATTTCTGCAAAGGGATCACAGATCACCAGCTCCTCCGAGGTGGCTATGCGATTCCCTCGAACTTCTCAGATTCGTCCCTGACCCTGCTGCTGCAAAGGGCAGCTCGGCAGAACCAAAAACCGGAGGCATTGTCTAGTGCGGACAGCATCGTGGGCACTGCGCAGCCGAGGCTCTGCCGTTTGTCCAGGAGAGCGCCAGGGCCCAAGGATATGGCGCTGCTTCACGGATGTGTCCAGGGACGACTTGAAATTCCCCTGTTCATAAAATGGTGTTTGCTGTAGACGGGCCACGGCTCAAGATTTTTCTCAGGCTGAAAAGGGTCGCGCCTTTCCTCGAAGACCACTCCTCCGCCATGTTCTCCCGGGTGCTGCGCAGCTCCCTAAGCTCCTCGCGGCTGAGTTACCGCAGCTTTGCCTCGAAACCAAAGTGCGTGATGCTGAATGCTGCGCGCTTGGACTTCGATGGCCGCATGGATTGGAAGAAGGTCACCGATGTCACGGACTACACCAGCTACGACATCTCTGCCACCGAGGAGATCGTGCCCCGCGCGCAGAACATGGACATCGTGATGAACAAGGAGTTCCCCATCCCAGGTGACATCATCAGGGCTTTGCCTCCCTCTGTGAAGCTGATCGCAGAGGCCGGAACGGGCTACAACAACATCGACCTGGACGCCTGCCGCGAGAAGGGCATCGCCATTTGTAACGTGCCCGAGTACACCACGGAGGCCATGGGAGACTATGCTATCACATTGGTCATGGCTTTGTCCTGCAGCTTGGCTGCGCAGATGAAGGCCTTAGCAGTAGGCGACCGGCGCTACATGCAGCAGTGCCACCTGGGGCACTTGGACCACTTCGAGATCCGGGGCAAGACCTACGGAATCATTGGCGGTTTAGGCTACATCGCTTCCAACATCTCCAAGAAGGCGCTCAACCTCGGCATGAAGGTCATCGTCTCAGACATGCCATCCACACCATTGGGCATGCGTGACAGCGGTGTGGAGGTGGTGACGTTTGATGACCTCCTGCGGCAGTCGGATTTCATCAGCCCCATGGTGCCGCTCAACAAGCACACCAAGGGACTTCTGAATGCAGACTGCTTCGACAAGATGAAGCCGACCGCCTACGTCATCAACACGGCGCGTGGCCCCATCGTGGACCAAGCGGCAATTATCGATGCCCTGCGCAAGAAGAAGATCGCGGGTGCCGCCCTTGACGTCTTCGGTGAAGGCTCCGCTCCCCCGCCGCCGCTCCCAGAAGACAGCCCTCTTTATGATGTTTTCGATGAGTTTGAGAATGTGATCCTCACGCCACACATTGGATGGCAGCGTGTAGAGGCTCGTCAGCGAGTTGTCGATGGCTGTGGTGACAACATTGCCAAGTTCGTCCGTGGAGAGGCCATGAACATTGATATGACCACCGGCCTCCCGATAAGGTGAATATGAGGTGATTTGGGTCTTTGTTGATGACGGGCTATCACACAAAAGATTGATACAGCCTGTCTCGGTTTCAAAGAGTTTTCCCACGACGCAGCAGCGCAAGGGAGTGGTTCCGACGGCATTTTAGCCCGGAAAAGCAAAATGATGTGTTGCCGTGTCATCGAGAATGGGTTGAAGCAAGCTTTTGGAACTATGGAATCATGCCAACACAACAAGTCCTTACAGCCTATACTGAACCCTTGAGCCACTGTCTGAAGCCGTGCCTGCGTGAGCGTGTGCGAGTCGAAGCCCTTTGAAGCATGTATACTATATACGCCGTTCGATAAAGCTATATATGTGTATGTCTGTCTGTCTGTCTGTCTGTCTGTCTGTCTGTCTGTCTGTATGTATGTATGTATGTATGTATGTATGTATGTATGTATGTGTATATATATATATATATAAGGACATCGATCTCCTACTCGACGTCCTACCCCGTGACCAGAGCGGGCACGTCTCTTTGGAGGGCCTTGTGCCGCTGGCTCGGCAAAAGCTCTGTCGCTAAGTCTTTCACGCCTCGCTCGGCATTCGAGCTCCTACAGGAATTCTTCGGTGCTGATGCAATTGGGGTTTTGTGTGAACAGCACTTCGAAAGGAGGAAGACGGCGTTCCGCCATTGCTCCTTCTTGAGGATCTGTGGAATTGAGGTCTTGGATCTTCCCCGCAGCTGAGAGGGGAGACACGACGCCCCTGCCCGAGTGGCAAGAAGAATGGAAGGCTCGGCTTCTGCCTTCTGCTCGGATAGAGATCGAATGAATCCCATCCTGCTGCAGTAACATGGGTCGTCACTGGCAAAAAAGTAGGTCATAAAACTTAGCTAGTAGCATCATGCATTGGCAGGTGTGCCAGCGGCAGAAGCATGAGCACGTGGCCCGTTGCAGAGCATTGCTCGTGAGCCTCACCCGCACGTGTGGACATGTTTGCCCAACACGTAAGTCTGCTGCGTCGAAACTCACGTATAGATTTTGGGGCTTTCTGGGCGTTGTTGCCGCATGCGAACTGCAATCCGTCGCATCAGGAAGATAAATGCTGTGCATCAAATGTCAACTACTTTGCGGCTGCATTTCCCTTTTACTTCACACATACACAATAGCCAAAGCATGCGCTGAGGCTGTCGCTTATTGCGGAGCCCTTCCAACACTGCTGGCGGGAGGTCTTCCTAGACCTTGCCTGGTGGGCCACTTGCCAGAACCTTGTACCTTGAGACAAGCACCCCAGCAGGATAATCAGAAAGAGAGAACCACAATGTGTTGTACCAGGCGGCAGTCCGCTACATGTACTTAGTAGCAGTAGCGCACCGTTGGATCAACCACTGTGTTAGCATCTCGCTGGATGCCTGCATTCTACGAGGCATGGAGCTCCATCGTGCTGGATTCGCGACGGCGCAAGTCGTTGCCAGTCCTTTGGTCGCACGCAGACCGGCAAGCCGAGTTCATCAGCAGAACTCACCACCCACCGCCTCGGTTGTTCCCCGAGCTGTTTTTGTCTTTATGCCGGCCTCTGGAGTCAGACCATCAAAGCCTAGGCGAGCCGCTCAGTTTAGCCAAGGTTCGGCAGGCCGAGTTTGAGCAGGAGGTCGCCGGCTGAGCTGGGCAAGGATCCACAAATCTGGCAATATACATCACGGGAGATTCCGTAAACTTTTAAACACACTTAGTTACTAGAATCAGAATGTCAGTAGGTGTAGTGATGAGAACGATGTTCGTGCTACTTGTCATAGTGATATAGTGTTATCACTGGTAATACATAATAACGGTCATACACAGGCAGCAGTCAGTGGCTTCAATCGTACAACGAATAGTCGAGAACATTGGAGGATCTGCTGCCAGACGATCATTCCACATGTGTCGGCAGCGTGCCTGACATTAAGGGTCGCGCTCGTGAGTGTTGGATCCTTGGGGGGATCCTGAGGCCGCGCGACTGTCTGCTGACTCCGGCTGCTGGAATCGAGCAGCTCGGCTGACCCTGTCTGCCCCAACCCCTGGCTTAGGAGAGGTCCGACCTCTTTGCTGCAAGTTTCGGTTTCAGATGGCTCCGTATAGGGTGTGTTCCTTAGTTTGTGTGTTGCTGTCGAGTAGTCCTTGCCCAATTCTAGGCTTATTGGATGATGCCAATACCCGTTGACACCGGCTTGCAGGCCTGCCCGCCTGGCAGGCCTTTATGGTGCTGTTTCCAGGGATCTTATAAATAGCTTTTAAGTACAGTTGTAACTAGGTTATAAGTACCCTGAACCTCCAGGTATCACTCGATGACATTGCCAGCGCGGCGCTCCACAACCTGAACTGGAGGCGGTGGGCAGCGAGCTGTTGCATTGGCAGGGAAGACGTTTTCTGTAGATGATGAGTATGTCTCGTCGAAGTGAGTTGCGGCAGCTTGGAAGTTAGTCACCTGTCTGGAGCTTGGCCCAAGCAGTCCGCCTTGCATGATTTTAAGTTTAGTGTTGCCGAATTTTGATGGCGAGGGACCAGCCGGCACAGGAACATGCACAGAAGCAAGGTGCAGATGCGTTGGACATCCCACCGGGGTTTGACAGAGACCGTCTGGTGGAAGTTTTGAAGATGAAGGAACAGGCCAATGAGAAGTACCGGGGAGGTGACTACTTCAGTGCAAAGTGTCTCTACTCCGGGAGCCTGGAGATGTTAGAACGATGCTGCTTACACCTTACAAAGTCTGATGAGGTTTGGGAAGGCATCAAGAACAATATGGCCCTCTGTGACCTGAAAAGGCGTGAGTGGGCCCGCGCTGTGGACACCACTACGGAGATCCTTCAGAGGAACTCCAAGAACACCAAGGCCCTCTACCGGCGTGGGGTGGCCCGCATCGGCCAGGGAAAGCTCCGAGAGGCGCGAGAAGACTTGGAGGCGGTGGTAGAGTTGGAGCCCGAGAATGCGGATGCCCGCCAGAAGCTCGCCGAGATCTTGAGGCAGCTCAAGGCCAACCGCACCGCCGAGAAGGATCAGGCAGACAAGATGCGTGGCTTCTTGAGAGGAGAGCGCCTCGACGACACCGTGCCAATCACCGAGGATGGCGGTGTTCGAAAGCTCCACTCCAATGAGAACGCCCCCCTCTTCGCCTCGTGGATCAAGCGGTCTTGGCTCCAAGAGAGGAGTGGCGTCGCCGGTGTCGTCACGGCCCATGTGGTCATGAAAACCCAAGCCGGCAAGGAGCTTCTGAACACCCGCAAGCCTCCGGGAAGCCTCTCTGCCGAGCCCGGGCCCCAAATGGCAGCACAGCCAAAGGCTGCAGAGCGACCGGCAGAGCCGGCACGCTGGGTCATGGACGATTCCTCGAAGTCCGTGTTTCAGGCTTGGAACAGTGCTGGCAAGACTCTGCAGCTCTTTGAGCTCGGGAAGTTCGAAGTGGCACGGTCTGCACTGGGTCCATCCGTGGAAGCTGCGATTCGAAACTGTCTTGACAAGTGGCTGCCCGACACGCCGGAGCAGCGTGAGCTCTACAAGAACATGGAGGAGATCAAGCCGACAGCCCTTCGCCGCCAGGCGATTCAGATCCTCGGCCTACCTGAGGAGTTCTGCATGGAGGAGGAGAAGGAGCCCAACAGTACTCTGATGATGGAGATGGAGCTCTTGGAGTCCTCAGAGTTCACGGACCTAGATGGGGATGGCCGACGCCTCCTCAATGTCATCAAGGAAGGCAAGAGCCAAAACGCCCCGGTGGTTTCGGAGCTTTGCACCGTGCAGGCACACTTCCGAGTTGCCAAGCTCTTGATGAACTACGCTCTGAAAGACACCCGGTTAGGCCTTGCCAACGGACCTGATGGCTTGGTCTTACGTGCAGATCGTATGAAGGAGCCCATGGAGTTCATCGTCGGAGAAGAGGCTGCAGCTGCGGAGGGCGAGTTCGTGCCTCCTTGCGTCGGTGAGTGTCTGAAGCTCCCACCTCAAGGTGTCACCGAAGGGATGCACTTCGAGGTGATTCTCAGAGAGGGTGTCCCCATCAGGGACATGGAGAAGGACATCCACAGCGCCTACAGCGACGGGAAGTACACGGGCTTGCCCGACACCAGCGGCCCTGTCTCCATCCGCATCGAGGTGGAGAAGGTGGCTTTGGCCTGCCAAGGCCCCACAGATCGCGCTTGGAGGGGACTGGAGAGCATCCAGGCAGAGCGAAGCCGGGCAGAAGCCTTAGAGTCCATGGAGAATGGCCGCCACAAGCTCTTAGCCCTTAAGAGGTGGAGGCGCATCCTTGTCTGGTTCGAGGAAATCTTTGCAAGCCGACGCTGGAAGACTCAAGAGGGTAAAGCTGGAGACAGCATGTACGACCTGCAGTGGGATGACGAGCCCGGGTCAATGCTTGGGACCTGCTTTTAGTTGGGGGGGATTTAGGTTTCCCAACATATTCAAAGGAAGCAGCAACAACGACAACAACAACAACAACAGCTGCCTTTTCTCGTTCTGTCTGACCGTGACCCAGGAGCCGGAGAAGCAGTTTGCTTTTGATCCCAAGAAGAGACTCCAAGAGAAGATCCCCACGATGCTGGACTTTGAGGACAGCCTCCTCAAACAGCTCCTCGCAGTACTCATTTTGAGTTATCTCTCGAGAACTAGGGGGCTGATCACCTTCCCCCTTCAACTTCCCCATCATATGTTTTTACGTCTGTAGTTATCCATTGATGTGTGAATACAGCCGGCGTATGTATAAGCAAGTAAGATGAAGATTAAGTTAGATTGTGAGCTGTCCGGGGGTGCGCTGGCGCCCGAGACTTGCACTTGCTTCGGTCGCCACGGGCATCGTGTCGTGATGGTAAGTATAGGTAGTATAGGTCAAACGCCCAAAGTCAGCCGCCCACATGGTAAGCCTAAAGTCGAGCCTCATAAGGCATGTCTGGAGGGGTTGTCCACACTGGTATAGGTGCCATGTCTATTCCAATGATACTTGTCCTAATAGCAAAGTCTGACATTAATCAACCTCATGACCAGTTTGAAACTCTAGAGTATTTAGTACCTAGGCTCCACGATGACGAGCTCTGTGAGTTTGCGCGGGCGCATGCTGCTGCAGCTGCACTCCTCGGTGGTGAGCTTTCTCGACAGCACGCTCAATGTGCGGTCCAGGCCGTTTTAGCGATCACCGAACCCGAAACACGTCTGGGGTCTTAGGCCCTTAGGCACTCCGACTGCAGCCTTGAAACGTCTAGGTCTAGGTTCGTCTTGGTCACATTGAGAGAGATTGCCAGGATGTCATGATGTTCGGATCCACTATTCGTCGTAGTCAGAGCAGTTGTCATGGCATTGGTGGAAGGGTAGAGGAGGAGGAGGAGGGAGGATGAGGAGTAGCCGAAGCAGGGGCATTCTAGAGCCTCAGCCCCTTGAGGCGTGTGGAATTTCCAGCATTCCGGCGGAGGTCGAGGCAGGCCCATAGGGCCGTTGGGGTTGTTTGCGTCGCTGCTCTCGGGCCCACTGCTAACCATATCTACGGGCGTAGCAAGCGACGAAATTCGGATGGCTTCTTCGGCAGAAGTCTTGCAAAAGACTCATCTACTGCAGGCCATGATATGCATCATTAAAAACTATATAATTATTACTTGCGACTTGCACTTGTGTTCATCGGTTTGTTCAGTCGATCGATAGATCGATCGCTAGATTGCAACCTTATCACCGGGCGTCATCTAGTGTATGCAAGGGTTCGACTGCAAGGTCAAGAGCAGATCTACCCTGGCCTGGCGGCTCTTAGAGAGCGGCAAGTCAACTGAAGCTCTAGCTGTGCTGAAGGAGGCCACTGCCCTTGATCCTCAGAATACGGAGTTGAAGGACCAAGTCGCCCTCATAACTCAGAAGGACAACGAGAACAAGTCGGTGAGCACATTGGAGGCCCTGAAGGCCCTGAAGCAAGATCTCATGGACAGCTTTGAGGCGAATGATTTGGCAGGCCTGAAGCTGCTCTTACAGGAGCTGGAGTCACTACCGCTGACCTGGGAGGTGGCGTCTGAAACCAAAATTGGCAAAGAAGTCGGGATGTGCGCAAAGCACGCGGATGCGGCCGTCGCGGAGCCTGCGAAGTCCATCATTGCCCGGCTGCATAAGCTGGCCAAGGCAGAGCGACCCTTGTGGGTGCGCTGACAGGTATCTGCTCTGCTTGAAGCATGCGACACCCTGTTAACTACCTCTTATTTGCCGGGCCCCGGCCAAAAGTGCCACTGGTCGCACGTGCAGTGATAATGTGCAGTAGGCAGTCGGACTGTCGACCTGCTCTCGAAGCAAAAGAGAATGCTCACACTCCATGCTGTCACGCCGCCGTTTTTCTTCTCTGTGTGAGTTCGCAGCTGTCGTGGCAATTCTATTGCAGATACCGCCTCTCTTGGACCATGGTGGATGCAAGAGTGTTGCAAGCTTCCGCCGCGGATGTTGTGTTCGAAGTCGAGTTAGCGATGGGAGGGGTTCGTAAACCAGCGACCTCGTGTGGGAGGATGAGTTCCCTGCTCAGTACTGCAGTTCGCTGCGCGACGCCCGCATGCCGCTGTAGAAGTGTATTTGCAGCGCATGGGTGCCGAGGCAACAAGCAAATGGAGCAGCCTTTGTTGAGGAAGAGGGCTTCCGTGGACGTGGTTGGAGCACTTTTGCAGAGCTTCGGCAACAATGTGCATATATTAATGGCACGATGATGACGGTGATGATGACCAACATCATAAGCCTGCCGTTGATCGCTTCTTGCTGGCTCACTGCGGTTTCAAATGCACAAGTCGACTGACCTGCCAATCCGTCCTTTGATGCCGAATTTGATATCATTGCTGCGCCTGCTCCTGCTCCTCGTCCTACCACCACGACCACGACTAGCGACGAGGACGAAGATGGTGCCTACTAACCACTATGCTATCACTGCTGCTCCTACTTCTTCTACTAACTTCTCCTCCTACTACCACCACTGCTGCTGCCGTTGCTGCTGCTACTGCTACTTCTATTATTTCTCCTCCTACCACCATTGCTTCTGCTGCTGCTATCAACACTGTCGACACCCTTTTCATCCCTGCACCATCTTCCCCACCGGTGTTTGTCCACAGTCCACAGTCTATTCTAGACCCAGCTGTTCTACGCTTGAGGAGGGGCGGGGGTGCATTAAAGCACAACCTGAAATCAGCGTCCTTATGTAAGGCTACCAACCACGGGTTAGACATATGTATTTCAAATTACACGGTCTTCTATTTTGTGTTTTCGTTCTATATATGCACGCCTGCAATTCTGAGCCGGAATATATCGGAATCGCGTTGCTGCTGATGTCATTGCTGACATCATTGCCTACAGCACAGCTTTCGCTCGCGCAGCCCATCAGCCGACACTTCGCAATTTGTACACCAGGTGCATACTAGCATATTTCAATTCGCTCAAATTCGGGAGCCTTGCATGGGTTGTTGCCATTGGCTGGCTTTCCTTTAAGTTCTTATAAGAGCTGCGAGACCCCAGCCACCGATGCGCAAGCCTTCGATTTTTTTCAGGGCCGCCTTCGCAGTCATCGGCCTGGCAAGCTCCATCCTATGGAACCAGCAGCTTGGAGTAACCGGGACAGTTGTGCGGAAACCCGGGCATGGTCTGATATGTACAGTTCTGTGCTCGCGTGAGAACTCTTTGAGAAAATGGTTTTGCCTGAAGGTTGCATGTGGCTCGAACAATTCACAGTCGGTAGCCACCAGTTCTCCAGCTCCTCGTAGAAACTCTCTGTGGGGCTGGCAGCCCTTGCTATCATGGGACGACGTGGGCTGCCAAGGGCCGTGACCTCCATAGCTTTAGACAGAGATGCCGGGCCTTTGTTCGAGGTCGGCGTTGCTGAGATGAACGGCTGGAGGCCCACAATGGAGGATGCACATGTGTCAGTGATGCAGGACTCCTGGGGTTTCTTTGGCGTTTTCGATGGGCATGGTGGCTCGGAGTGTTCGTCCTTCGTAGCCAAGCGACTAGGGGAGGAGCTCAGATCGCGACCGCTCCTCGCCGATGATGCGGCGGTCAAGTCGCTGATGTTGAGAATAGACCAAGAGTTCCTGGACACGAAGCAACCCAGCGGCTCAACCGGCACCTTCGCACTGGTGGTGCCATCTGCCGAAGACATCACACTTCGGGTTGGCAACATCGGAGACAGTCGAGTCTTGCTGGGGCGGGCAGATGGTTCAATGGTGGAAGGACCAGGCACAGACGGTGGACTCACCACGGATCATAAACCCGAAAACAAGCTGGAAGAGGAAAGGATACGACGGACCGGCGGAACAGTCGTGACCAGGATGGGTATTGCCCGTGTAAATGGTGATCTCTCAGTCAGCCGATCCTTTGGCGATGCTTTGCACAAGCAGACGGGTGGCCCCAAGCAGGAAGACCATCCCATATCGGCTGAGCCAGACTTCACGACTGTGACATGTACCCGTTCTGACTTTCTGCTGCTGGTGTGCGACGGCATCTCCGAAGGTAACTTTCCAAACAGAGATGTGGTGCGATTAGCAGCGGATGAGCTGTTGTCCAAAGATCCAGCGGTGGCAGCTGCAGCCGTGTGCCGCAAAGCACTCGAGCGTGGCTCCAGGGACAACCTCTCCTGCATGATAGTTCTATTTCGGCCAGGAGAACAGGTAGGGAAGGAGCTGTGGCCGGGACCGTTCAGTACGCCGACCCATGCTGCTTTCAGGAAGGCTTATACTGCGATGGCAGTGCGAGCAGGCATGACCCTGGAGGCGGCACTGGAACAGAGATACACCATGGCCTCGCAGCAGTTGATACAGATAACCAGAAGTGCCGGCCAGCACCATTCGGAGCAGGAGGCAGAGAAAGTGAGGGTCAAGGGCACCGGGAACGATTCTTTGACAACGATGCTCGGACCACGCAGAAGATCATCGAGCACGGCAACCCGCGTCCTACTCGCAGATTTGCACGTTGAGCTGATGCAGTTTGCCCCTGGCCCCCCAAGCGCACTTACAGCAGGGTGCCTAGAACGAATCCAATGGTTCAAAGAGTGGCTTGAGTTTGTGAATTCGGTGCATGATCCCAAGCTCTATGCGGTGGCTGAGGGAGATGAAGAGTTTGAGCACCTCTCGCGAGTTGTTCGCGTGATGGCTGCAGACGTCCTGCGTCCTGCGGTCGAGGCACATACGGCCCTCGACTGGGACGATAGACTGCTGTTCGTTTGCGAGCAGTGGGGCAAGGTTCTTCGGGATGATCCATCTGAGAAAACCGCAGAGGTGAAGATCTGCTCGACGGCTTGGACCGCGTGGGTGTGGCTGGCATGGGAATGCCTGGAAGACGACTGGATGTATTATCGATCCCGCACTGTGCGAGTTGCGCGTTCTTTCGCGCTGCAGAGCCTGCAACCTCATGCTGTGCCTTCGTCTTACGGAAGAGGATCGGCGGCCCTGCCCCTCCGAGAGTATAGCACCAAGTCAGCCGCCATCGAAGTGGGGCTGACAGGAGCTGCCAGTGGTGGAGTTTCTGCTGCCGACGACTTTGGGTGCGGTGTGGTTCCAGGAGAAGAGGATGTCGACTGGGGTGGCGACGAGGTGGAAGCGGCCAAGGCAGACACTTCGCCTCCCATGAGCTCCGAGAAGCTTTTCGCTTCCGAGGCGCCCGAATGCCTGCTTGGCACGGCTTCGGCCTGGCAAGTTGCAGCTGAGGAGCCGCGGTATCATTGTCAGACAGCAGAAATTGAAGTCGGTGGTTCTTGTCCGTGCACGACGGAGGACTTCGAAGCGATGGATGACGGCGATGACATGGATTCAGACCCAGGCCTTGATCATCCGGATGAAAGTTTGAAGGAAGTTCCGGCACCCGGTGGCCCATATCCGCCATCAGCGCCAAAGAGAAAGCCAGATGAGGCTTGTCATGACGGGTCTCACAAGTATCAGAAGTGCTGAGGAGACAAGGTGGGTCTTGTTGCCTGTGGAGTGGGAGCAAAAAGTACAACGCCTTATTTTTGTTTTGCATTCAGGGACTTTGGCCTGCACTGTACTGGCGAGGTTCGACAGAGATTTGGATGCAGAATAAACCTGTAACTCGGAAGCTTGGACATGACTTCCAAACATCATCGCAAAGCAAGTGCGGCAGGAACGCCAGCATCGCGCTAGGAGACGAGAAATGCCACCTTTTCCCAAGCGTCGCCACGTTTTCTCAGTCGTTTGCTCGATGCAAGGCTGATGCTGTGTGTTGCCGTGCTTACGCAGCTTCCTGGATGCAGTTTGAGTCCGAGCCATATATAGAAAGCTGCTTGGAGCTTTGGGAGAAGGACGGAGGGTTCGCGATTTCGAATCGGCAAACGCAGGACAGGCACTGATGAGTTCATGTCCCGTTGGCAATCGTGCCATGCCTGGGAAGCTGGCCTGTTTCAATTGCCTATCGTCGACCCGAAGAATCTTGCATCGCAGGTTCCTACAGTAGGGCTTGAGAATGACAGGATTGTCAACACTATGAGTAGCATAGTTACCGTTGGGGCTTCGAACAAAGAAGTCAAGGTATCGGCGCGGCCTGCACATGCAGGCCACGGTCCCCAAGGAGGAAAGTTGAACTATGTAAGAATGCATGCGGTCTCATCTCGCTGAAAGGCTTTTCGGCAAGCCAGCGCTTGCGAAAGCAGCGACCTCGCAAAACTGCTGCTGTGCGGTGGCAATGCTCTTCCTGACGTTTGGGCCAAGGCAAAGTCCGGAGTCAAAAGATACAGGTTTAGGATTAGGGTAGATGGTCTTGTTGCTGTTGTCCTTGATGCGAAGGCGAACCCGGAATACTTCTTGTACGAGCACCATTGAAGTTTAAAGACAGCCTCGGCAGGCTACTGCGCTGGAATCTCAGCGCTTGCCAGCGGCTGATTTTGTGCGCCTGCAGCTACTTGGTGATGCCACTTGGTGGCCTGGAAAGACTTGTCGTGCAAGATGTAATTTGGAGCTCTACGTTCCAGTCGCCTGCCTTCAGCTGCTCTGTGCATCAGAGTTCGCCTATGTCGAAGCCTCCCTCGATTCGAGGTATCCCAAAGTCCTAAAGTCCTACCCCCCCCCCGCACAAAGGGTTTTTTGCTGATCGTTCCAATGGTCCAAGCACCTCACGACACGGCGGCAGTCTGAGAGCAACGCCAGCAGCCCGCTTTGGCTATGTATCTGAGTTCGAAGGTTCAGGAGCCTCCCAGAGTTTCACCTAAAGACTTATAGTTATAGTAATATTCTTTGTTACTAATGATACTCTTATCGTCATATTCTCGAATTTGGAGCTTATTTCCAACGCACGGCCTCTCTGTGGTTTGGCGAGCTAGCACACGGAGTTCTCGGAATGGGAAGGCTACCTTCAGCCCTAAGCATCAGCTTTCGGAGATTGTTTTTGCCTACCTATAGTCTCCATTGTAGTTCCTTTTTATGGTTTAACCGAATATATATATATATATATATTAACGAGCTTATAAGGTATCCCCAAAAAGAACTACAATGGAGACTATAGGTAATAACAAACTTTGCCCTGCATGCCGAGCACGAGTCGAACCCTGCATGTCAACGGTTACTTGCAGGCCCTGGCTAAACCCGGCATAAACTATAAGTGCCTTGTTGCAGTGGTCTCTAGAGCTTCCGCATCAAGGCGCAGAGCCCTAAGCCTACATAAATTTTAAACCCTGCTGTGTTGAGTGTGTGTGAGTCGAGTGCCCCTAAACCCAAGTATGTTGCACTGCTATAAAAACCCTAAACCCTAAACAAAAAAAAACCCTAAATCCTAAACCCTAAACCCTAAAAGGAATTAAACCCGAAACCCTAGCAACAAAAACCCTAAACCCTGTTATAAGTCCTTCTGACGTCTGACCGCAGAAAAAAAAGAGGCTCGCCCTGGGCCTGGTCCTCGCAGAGATGCTGCGGGCGGGCGAGGTGGCTGAGGAGCTCTTCCTGAGCTCCGGGCTGCCTTCAGACGGGTTTTCTTCAGGGTTGAGAGGGGTTCCATTCAATACGGGTTTATAATGGTTTATAATGGTTTATAGTTTGTATAGAGGTTCCGGGTTTACAGGGTTCAGGGTTTATAGAGGGGTTTAGGCTTTACAGGGGTTTTAGTGTTTAGGGTGGCAAGAGTCCTGGATGTTGGTTGTATGCCGCCAAGCTGGACTCTCAAGGTCTTCATGAGACAAAAGCAGACATGTTTGGGATTTCTTGTTGAAGCCTTTCCCCCCCAGGCCGTGCTGAAGAGGGCTTTTGTCTCAGAGGCTCTAGGGATTCTAGGGGGTTCGAGTTTAGGGGTGCTGGATTGGTTTTGAGTGGCTTTATATGTGATGCATCGAGTCGAAGCCAGTAGGATGGTTTGTTTTTCGATTGCTTGATTTTGTGGCTCTGCGCCACGGGGGGCGTCTCATCGGATCCCATCGGTGAAGCTGCTTCAACACACCATGTCCATGACGACAGCGAGGAGTTTGGGACGTCTCGCAGTGTTTTTTAAAAGCGTTAGCAAAGATCCTACCGTGCAAGTCCGTGCAAGCAGGGCGAGCTTCCGGAAATGAGGGACTCATGTGTCCACATGAGCATCAGGACCTCTACTGGGGGCCGGGGTTCACGATTTACAGTTGTCGGTGCTTATATGCATCTGTCTCAACAAGCATTTGCAGCAAGATGTCGCCGGGAAGGATGGGTAGTTTGAGATGCATCCTTGCCAAAGAACATCTCGAATATACGGACTTGCTACAAGCTGTAGGAGTTATCTGTGTCCTGCTAGGGAGACAGGGTGCATCTTAAATCGTTCCCCTGCGTAATGAACCGAATCGAAAAGCTTGAGGCTAAGAGCCCCTGTAGTAACCTCGTCGTACACCTACTTATAGAACAATACCAATAGCAGCCAAGGATCCTCGTGGCGATCAACGGCCTTTGCACAGGCGCGCCTTGAGAGCTTTCGGGATGTCAAGGGGGGCCCAGTCGCTCAGGGCTCAGTATGGTTTAATATGGTTCAGTGCTTCGGCGACACACACACACACACGCCTCTTAAAACAAGCTTTAATTCTGGGATCCTAACCAGGTGCTGACACAAGAACTCCATATGCATACATGGCATGAAGCCGGCCAGCATAGACATCTGACAGAGCTAGACGGCCAGAATCGCAGGATCTCCCACTGTTTCTGAGGCGTGTGTGATGACCGGGAGCAGGGGGGGGCATACTAGGACTGAATGACTCATCCAGCAGGGCTTGGCGCCCAAATGGGCACACCTCTCACATGCACAGGAGTGCCCGACTTTTCATGCGACCTGAGAAAGAAGCTCGTTGTAGGGTATTGTGGCCCACTGGCATTTCAGGGTTGCCACCAAACGTTTGTTCTTTCTTCTCGTAGTCTAGCCTTCGTGACAATGAAACCTCCTGTCCTGCAGAATGAAGGGTTTGCTATTACTATTACTACTACTATTAGTAACTACTATTACTATTACTATTGCTACTACTATCGTTTGCAACAGTTGGCAGGACTGGTCCAAAATGTGGCCGCCTCGCTGTCGACAAGTGTCCCAGGCGCCTTCAGCTGTTGGAGATCATCCGGGCCTGACTGCAGCAGACAGACACATGGGTAGTTCTCTAAATTAGGGTACCGTTTTAGGGTCCTTTTAAAAGGGTGCCGTACTATATTCGGGACCCAAAAGTGGCTTTAATTTAGAAAACTACCCACATACAGCTTTGTGGGAGGCAGAACTTTAAAAGCCCTTCCTGGTCCTGGTGTGCCTTTACAGTACAGCACCTCGTAAACGGTGACAAAAGGTCCTATTATGAGGATTTTGAGAGTCCCCATTTCGTACGTCATACAGTGATATACGCTTTTCTTGTTGAGACGTTTTTACTTCGAGGCTGGTTCCAGGTCTCGGGTCTCGACTTTCGGATTTTGATTCGGGAGTTCGTTACAAATTCGGTCCCTTTTTGTCTTCAGGCTGTCTTGAAGAGGAGAGGACTTAGGGGATGAGATCGCTTTGTAAAGCAAGTTCTATCCGATTCTCCCCTTGTGCGATGTCCTCGGAGCCCAGATCACTACCGCCTGTAGGACTTAGAATCAATCGTCAACCCAAGACCTACTGTAGATCTCTAAACCTAAGCCGCAAGATGCTTCTTCAACACCGCCGAAATGCTAAACGAGAGAAGCGGCTCTTTGTCCGCAAGCCCATCAGAGCTTGCAAACCCCTTCAAGCAGGCGCTTCTTCGGCCTTGCTCTTCGGAGAATCACTTAGCCCGCTTTTGGCTCCTTGGCTTCGTCGGACTTCGTGTTCTGATAGCTGTCATGTTCAGGATGTGTACAAAAAAAGCATATGTACATGCATACATTCAGTTATGGTCCCGCGTCGCCGCGTCCCATGGTATGCCGTCATTTCCCTTTTACAGCAGCCAAGCCAGGCCGGCCAGGCCTCTCATCCGAGCAAACAGTTACAGGGATGGTGCTCGTCCGCATCATCGTCTTCGTAGCCGTCGACGTTCATTTGGAACTCTTGCGCGACATCGCAAAATCCCCGCCCCCCTCCTCACACAGATGAGAATGATGGCGATGATGCTATGCTCAGTGTGTTTTGGGTGCATCATGTGCCTGATTGGCTTTCATTTAGGACTCTTGATCAAGGGACCGGAGGAGCGTGCGGACGCGGATCGTGATCACCATTTTCGAGGGAGGGGTGCGGGAACCCACACCACCGGGAACGACAGGGGGAGGGGGGGTGACGCCATGGGCCGCACTGCACTATATATGCGTTGGTCTGTTTGTCTGTCTACCTGTCTGCCTGTTTGTCCGTATGGCTGCCTGCCTGTCTGTCTGCCTGTCTGTATGTATGCATGTATGTATGTATGTATGTATGTATGTATGTATCCTGGGTATGCATGTATGTATCTATGTATGTCTGTCTGTATTTATGTATGATGCAAACATATATATATATATATAGCCACAAATATATGTATATGTATACACATATACAGATATGTATATGTATATGCTTGTATAGGCAGACACACACTTTGTGTCATCTCAGTTTATACATGTACGTATATGGATACCTACGCCTATAGCTGTATAATATGCACATCTATGTCGTTAGCTGTATCTATATCTGTTTGATCTTTACCCATTGTCTCTTTTTTAGCAAGACTTCGAAATGCAGGAATTGGGCCATGAAGGAGGTGCTGCCTAGATTTCTACGAAACCTGGTAACGGTTAGTGAGTCGGCGAGGCCGTGAGCATCGCCGTCATGGCCGAAACCTTCATGGCCAAGGGCGGGGTCGTGGACCTCCACGAGGACACCCGGAACCGGAACCCACGGCAGCTGCGGGAGACTTGGGCTGCTCTTGTCATGTGTGATGGACCGCCGGAGGCCTCTTTCTATACCATCGTGACAGCAGAGATCTTCGCAGCAGCCTCAGCATATTTTTTTGGCATGTGTAGCAGCATTCGCCGGGGGGTAACTTGTAGAGACATGTTTACAGTTCTGGTAGGAGGGCCCTGCTGTCCTTCTTTGGAATGCGGCTTCGTTTGAACATCCTGCTACGTACTCCGGCACTGCTTCCCGCCGCCTGGCAAGGTCTGCATTGCCATAGTCGGTATTGCTTTTGCGTGGCGCTCCGATGCTTTGGCAAACCCCGAGCATGGCACCATTGCTGATGCTCTCGAAATAGGCCTTGGCGGGCGATGTTCAGTTGCAGTAGCCGTCAAGTAGTCGTCCATGAAGATCAACTATCACGAAGAGATGCCATTGCAAAAAACTTTGTTGCTCCGTGAGCACAATGATTGCTAGCTACTCGTAGAGTATGGCGACGGTGAGCACGTTGTTTGCTGTGGCGGTGGTGGTTTCGGCTTGTAGATTGTGTTTCGGAAAGATTATGCTGCTGACCTTGCTTGGGGACACATCGAAGCTGGTGATTCCAATGAAGACGGTAAGTGACGATCAAGATGTTTGATTGTATTGCTGCCGATGATGTCGAGCCTGGTCCTGCTCCCTGGTATTTCTCTGTTTCCAGTCGTTCCACCATGCAGGCAACTGCTGTCAATGCACCTGACGACGACTCTCTAGAGCGACGGAGACCGTTCTTCAGTTGACCACGCCGCAAGTCGCAAACTGATGCTACGACTTCTTGCGACTGCCAATAAAGACTTGTAGAAATGTGCCACTATCGAAAATCTTCCTAATGTTGTCGTTGGCACAAAATCCTTCTGTGCCTAGCTGGCAGTTTATCATATTTCTTTGTTTTGTTTTGCGGCTGGTCTCACCCAGCCCTCCAGTATCGGATGTATGGGAAGTGTTTCATTTGGGGTCCGCAGCCAAAAGATGGAGCTTGGCAGGCGGATATCGGGAAGAGTACTTCTGGGAGAGAATGCACGTACTCTTGTGTAACTCGTGCGTGGCACTTCTGGCCTGTTGCGCTTGGGTGTTTCTGCTGCTGCTTGGCAATACTATCAAGATTGTCCCAATTTCTGTTGTTCTGGGCTTTGCTAGAACTCCCAGAAATCACCGACACTATTCACAACTGTATCATGTGATGTTTGATGGCTTTCGCATCAAGGTGTGCTTCACCCTTTATCGCTGAGGGACTTTGTCAAGAAGCCGGCTGCGCAGAAATCCTGCCGCAGCGGATGATTTCCACTGCCAACATTGCTGCAACACTGGGTCGGTTCTTGGCTTTGAAGGCTGCTCCTGGCGAAGATGATAAGCATCATGCACTTATCGCCGTCTATAGTGGCTGTAGGAGCAGCCGCGTGCCTCACTGCTGGCAGTAGTCGCCCAAGCAGCAGCACAAGCAATAGCAGTTCATATTAGCAGTAGTACGAGGGCAGGTGCGAGTACTGACATAGAGTACTAAACACTCAAGACTGGCGAAAATCAACATCTTTCGTGTTCCCACCGATGTCGCGGGCATCGACAGGTGTCCCATGCGCCTGGGGCACCGATGCTGGTTCTGGAAAGTCTGATCCCTGTCAGCAGCAGCAGAGAGTGCTGGCAGTGCAGCATGGATATCGATAGCGCATGGAAGTTTAGACATACAAAGGAAGAGTCTTGCGCACCTGAATGTTGTGGTGAGAGTCGGATAAGTAGTGGAGCATAACTGGGTGCAAAAGGGCACTGCTTGTACCTCAAATTAAGGAGCCTTCTTGCTCTCGGCCTCTTGATAGTTCTTCCCTGCGTATGGCACTGGGTGCCAGAAATGCCTTTCTATGAAGCCCTGGCGACTGGGCTGCCGATCGCAGGAGGCCAGTACCCGAGCGAATCAGCACGTTCTGCAATTATGGTAGGCTAGAGTCTCAGAGGCTAGAGGTATGTGCAACTATGCAGGCATTACGTTGTGGAGCAACTCCCTCCTGATGCGGAACGACCACAGCTCACAAGCTGCTTGCGGCCACAGCATCTATGCACCATGCCCGGTCACGACCGAGATCACATGGCTATCACTGCAGGTAGGCTCCTTCACTGCATTCGGTGCTAGACAGTGATGTGAAGGACTCTTAGAGGAGTATGGAAACGAAAAATGACCTGCGACATGCCAACCATATTGTCGTTTCCGAAGATATTCTGAAGCAAGGATCCATTTCCGGAACACTACTTGCAGCAGCGCTATGATCGCTATGCAAAGAAAGTTCTTTGCCTTGGACGGCCTCAGCGGAACTCCCATGAATGGTGAGGGCTGACAGCCACAATCCTGCACGTCTCGAAGGAGACCGTTTGATGTGGGTTGGTTTTGGCTTGGGCCAGGATTGTACAGGGTCGGGCTTCAGAAGTGTGCACTTCGCCCACAGAACAATCGCACGAGATGCGGATGGGTCGTGCTGCCCGGTCCACAGGGCTCAACACATCCGAGCAGAGTCACAGGTCCGTTATCTTGTAAGTGTGCCCAGAACACGTAGCAGTAGCGCTGGAGCTGTCAGCACCCGATCTGCACAGATTTGGGGCTTGAGCAAGGCCTCTAAATGCCTTTGCTCAGGCCAGTTGATGCCGGGCAACCAATGTGGCGCGCACACTAGCGAGGTGTAACCGACTGCTAGTGCTATCAAACCAGGAGGCCTTACGAGATGACAGGTATAATGCAGAATGTTCCTTTTGCCTTCACATGGCACGCTTCCTTGCAGAACCGCCCACTCGGAGCTTGGAGGAGTGGTGTTATCCCTCCTTTTTCCACCTGAAGGTTCGGCCCCACAGACAAGACTGCCTGTACAGGAAAAGAAAAGCCAAGGCCACTCTGCTTTAGAAGTCGATGCGGAAACTAAGTTAATGTAGAGGTCCTAAACTACAATAACAAGCTGCAGCTGAGGGCACGATTCCGGGGTGCCGCATGCTCCCGGTAGCGAGTCCTTACCACAAGAGAAGTCTACGGTCCGGGCTGGAACTTCCCCCCTCCCAACATTCCAGAGTACAACACCCTCAACAACAGAAAAACTTTTCTGGCCTGGATGTGCCGAGCGCGAAAGTCGACGCACCCAACTGAAGGGACGGGCATCTGATATCTTTCCTGTCCACTCCGTCCATTCTGCAACACTAGTTTCACATCGGCGATCACTGCTACAAAGAACTGCTGCTTTGCTGCTGCTGCTGCTGCTCCTGCTCCTGCTGCTGCTACTAGTACTAGTACTACTACTACTACGACGACGACGACGACTACGCTACTGCTGCCCCTACTACTGCCACCACTACGACTACCACTACCTACGACGATGATGACAACACGAAACCCCCCTGCAACTGGG